TGATGTCAACATCCAGCTCAGTTTAAATAGTATCTTTGCAATCAAGTCAACGGTATCGCTGGAAATGAAGTGTCCCCAATATAAGTCTGATATCTCTCCCTTTCTTTTCATGTTAATTGACCCTGTGCAAAAATATGACAGTCTGGTTAAATCTAATCATCCAGTTACAAGCAGTGTTTTTTGTTGTTTTTTAAATGCTAATGTTTTTACATATGAATATATATATATATATATATATATATATATATATATGTAACAGACACATGCTACTGTATCTTATCTCTTTGGTGCTTAAGCTTTATTTTTTGAAAATATTTTGTGTTCAACACTAATTGATCCTGTATAAAATTCTAGTTCCGCCAGTGCTCTCTCTCTCTCTCTCTCTCTCTCTCTCTGTGTTTGTGTGAGTGATGTGTGTGGGTTTGTCTGTATCAATTAAAGCAGCGCATTAATATGGAACGATTATTAAACTGACTTGTAACTAGGGCTGCACGATTAATCGAATGCGATTGTCATGCACATTATTGGTAGTTACTTTTTCATAATTGAGCTGTAATTTAGCAAATAAAACACTAACACAAAGACACTGTTGAACATCTACACTAATAATGCCTGATTACTTCGCAAATGTGCCTATTTAAAAGGTGTGAATTTTGGCAAAATACATTAACAATGCATGCCTGCGGCAAATAAAACTATTCTTTTCCTAGTATACGTTTCATATGTTGTGTACATATTCCTCCGGCCGAAAAAAATATTTGACTTCAGACAATTATTATATAGTAATTAAATTGAAACCTAAAAAACGCCTATTTATATTTCTTCATTGTACATGACATACCAGAAAATAATTAAAGTACACCAAATGACTTCAACGATTAACACAAGATTAAGTGAAAACTAATTTTGTTGTCTTTTATTGCACTTAAAACTTCCACACTGTCATCTGTCAACTGCACATAGTTAAAAACCATGTACAAAAAAGTTATGTTTTGGTTAATACATGTGACACAACATGAGCATCTTATTGCACTTACGGCTGCTATTTTTTGGCAAGGTTCTTCGCACCATGCCACATGTCCAGACTGTGATGACTTCCAAGGGCCTTTTATTTGCCTTTGTCTGGGTCTATGAAGAGGTAAATAATGTCATGTTATTTATTAATATTATACACATGTATTCATACAATATGTCAGATTAATACTTACTCATCATAAGGGCACCAATCTGGGCATGAGCATCTGTGCAGATCTCCACTAGCTTTATCTCTGGTGTAGGATTGTCCACAGTCTGGATGAAACAGTTCCATGATGTCTGCCGCTTGTCTATGGTGGCAACATGAATGATCTCCTTGGTGTCATTCTCCGTGGTGGTCTAGCTGCAGTATTGTGAACAGTGACCAGGCGAGTCATTTCTGCCATCCGCTGAAAAAAATAAAATAAATATAACTCAACGTTTAGTTGCTTACATACAGTCACACTGTCATTGCTTTATGTCTTCAATAGTTATGTAACATGATACAGTTTAGACTATACACCTAAGACTACAACATCCTTCCCTTGAAGGCGACAAAGAGCCTCTGTCCTTCTCTCTTCCCAGAAGTCCTTAATTGTGTTGACACAGTAAGTGTCCTGAATGGAGAAGAAGGTGTTCTTGTTTACCATCCCCATGTTCATGAATTTGAACAAGAGGGCAACCTTTGTGTAATTGTTGCCAGACAACAAAATGTTGGTGGACAAGAGAAAATCTGCAGCTTGCTTTCCAAATTCCAGAAATGTAGCCAGTTGTCTCAAGCAGTTCTTGTATACTATGGAAGCTCTGGCACCTCTGATGTCATCTTCACAAAGCACATTCAGTGGTCCTGGGAAAACAGGGTCCTGATCACAGGGTGAAGGCTCAACAGGTGGGTCTTCATGTGCAGGCAGGTCATGCACCGTCTCATCGATTCCAATAACAGGAAGGCCATCAATAGAGTGTACTTTCTTCAGAGCTCCTCCCATTCTGTTGAGGCACAACAATCTGTAGTAAACTGACACCACACAAAAACTGCAAAGTAACACACCGTATAGAAATCGGTGGAATATACTCTTCATCAGAGCTGAATCCATTCTGTCCATCATCTCTTTCAGGGAAGTAAGGGGAAGCTTCAACTGCCCAATCAATTCTGTACATAAGGAAACATTTCAGATAAAAACAAGTTATCAAATAATAATACATAAGTACTACTTACACACTATTCATTGGGTCATTGAAAGTCCTCCTCAACAATGCCCTTTTCATGTAAGCTGCACAAATAAACAAATGTTACAAATATATACACATTATAAAACTGTAGAAAAACAGACATGCAGTGCTAAAAGTTATGATGTTACCTTTGTTCAAGCCCCTGAATTTCTGTGGCCTCTGCAATAATATCAAGATCACCATCTCTGTGGGGAATAACCGGAGAATGTTGTGTTTATCCCACATATGCTCATTCAAAGGAAACATAGACTAAAAAATGCAATAAGGCACTACTCAGCAAGTTCAAGTTTCTAATCAAAGCTATTAGACCAAAATTATGTCTACGCATGACTTGCATGAGTGTATTTTTTTTTTACATTACAGTTTTTGCCTGTATTACTGAAATTACTTCAGCAACAAAGGTGATATGAAACATATATCTTGCATTGTTTGCTCTTCAGTGAACTGATTGTTAAAAGTACTAAACTGAAAGAAGATCACAATGTTGTGTTTTAGTGATTAAAGCCAATGTTCTCAATATATATTGCAAAAATCTTATGTTTTGAAACAATGATTATGTTGATTGAAATCATTATAATTGTAATGAAAGCATGACATCAGTTTTGAAAGAATGACTCGCGACGTTGCAAGATTTTTTTGTACAAAGAGTTTTGAAAAGATACACCTAAAAAAAACCTGTAACATTTCTCTGAACTAAACTCACTGGTCTTCAAAACTGTATGGTTTTCTGGACATTTTAATGATGGACTATGGGATGAAGTACTGTGGGAAGTGAAGTTTACTACACTGTTGTGCTCACAGGCCATTTGGACTCACAATGCAAACGACAATCATTCAAACATCATACATGAATCATAATTAATAAATAATTTTGTTTAGTTGTATAAATTATTTATTTAATTATATTTGACGTGTATATCAGACATGCACAGAAATTAGCTTTTAAGAAAATACTCACTCTGAGAAATATTTACTGGAGTAAAAAGTGTGACAACTAGCCCCAGTCACCCCAATATAAAAGTTTTGTTGTTTACAAACTTGTATTTGGCTTTGAAGTTTAAACAAATAACATAATTTCTTTAGATGTGTCCAATGAGAGACAAGCAACAGAACACAAACAGGCCTAACCGATGAGCTGCTGGGAGACTTAACTTATGAAGCATTAGAAATACGAGGAAATACTCATTAAAAAAAACAAGAACAACAAAACCTGCAATGTTTAATGGTCTGACAGTCATTCAACTGAATCAACAGGTTACACAGCAACTCGATAGTTTCTTTTTTGTCTTTCTTTCTTTTTCCTTTTCTTTCTTTTTCTCCTCACCCCCTTATGCATGTTGAGGATAAATCAGACTAAACTGTAAAGAATTGTTGTGTTATTAAAATACACCAAACACAATTTTAATTTAGGGCTCCTGTTCAGACCTGCGTGCAGTTTCAGAGACTACACCCATTGAGGATGCTTTTCATTTTTTCATAGTGATGTTTTTCCATTTAATCAGAACTGGTTTGTCTGGATTAACTTTTGTTCTACAGAACTCTTTATCAGTCACAAGGAAGAAAATAAAACAGGTTTAAATATTAACCTGTACTGTATTGTCTTTGTGCACCAGATCACTTTCAGATTTTCACTTTGACGATGCAGAGAGATGATCATAACTTCACCTGAACATGGAGTTACTTATGTTCATTTTTGTAGCTGTAATTCCAGTTATATCTGATGGTAAGTACATTGTTTTTCTCTCTTTGAGCTGATTCTGAAAACAAGTCACATCAATAATAACTAGTTTAAATCTCTGCGAACTTACAATATCTGTCAAAGTTTTAGACACATTTGACAAATTTTATGTTGCTCATGATCTTCAAAACCTTCTGCCTCAGTGCTTGAAATGAGCTTGAGCTTGTTTATATGCTCTGAAAAACACTTAGCTGGTTTATTTGGCAACTCAGTGCTGGTAAATACGCTTTCTGTCTCTTTGTTCAATTTCAATAAATCACAGTCTTATGCTAATATTCATGTTTGCAAAGAAGCAGCTTTGTGTAATCTCTGCTCTGTCAGACTTTTAAGTTTCAAACTATCAAACGAGTAGAGCGGCCACGGTGGAGACTAGCGTTTCCTGTATACACTGCATGATCAAGTTCGCATTTATGATAGACCTTTGATCGCAGTTTTATCTAAAGTCACCACCACTGTTTTATTGTTGTACGTAGTACTTGCAATACTTCTTAAGCAACTGAAGCAACTGAATACACCGACTAGCTTGTAGTATCACTATTGAGTTTTATTAGGAGACGCACAACAGTTCTTCTGTGGTTTTATAGCTAATATTTTCACTTACACAATTAAGCAAAATCAGACAATATTGTGTCTAATATATACCACAATATTAACTTCTTATTATTGAACCCACAACAAACAGTCCACAGGGGCGTTACAATACCACAATATTACCTTCTTATTATTGAATTGTTGTAAATAAATATCACATTTGCAGCTGGTCAGGGGGTAGTTTTACCCCACTTACAAATGTACTACTTTAATTTTTGTTAAAAATCTAATAACATGAAAACTCTTGACATTTTTCATACTTGGTTTATAATTTATGTTATTGCCACGAAAACTATGATAATTATTATGAACAGATTTACCTTTTTTTTTCACAGAAACAAAAATACATAGTCCTCGAGAGGGGTGTTTTCCCTCACTCTACCCTATATTTAATTGTTTGATCAAAATTTTTGCAAGGGACAGTTTGGTAGTCGCTGGTTATTGGTAGGGACATGTCCCAGAGCCCCACCCCAATTCTACGCCCTTGCTTCAAGCAGATGTTAGCAGCACCCTACATGTAGACTAAAAAAAAGTATAATGTGAGAGTGAGACTACAGACAGACTTACACTGTAGTCCGAGACTAAAATGTAAGTCTGAGCTGTTTCAACTGAAAGAAACTTGCACTGACTGATTTTAACATATATCAGTGCCTTTGATTTGTCTCAAGATGTTTTTTTCTAAGGCATGTTTATAAAAACTACTTAAATGCCCTAATTGAACTATGGCCTAATCCTGGCTTAATCTAAGCCCTGACTGTGAAACCAGGCCAGTATCTATTATCTGTCATCGTTTGATTTGGTCATTTTACATTGACCTTTACGTTAATCTCACATTAGTCTATTTCAAATGTTACTGTTTGCTCATATTTCCTGGTTGCTTGATTTAACCGGCCTTACAACATTTTTTTTCCTTCAAGAAAGTGAAAGCAGGTCTATTAAACTCTCATCATTACAATTTTGTGAACAAAGTCTAAAAGTAGAAACTGAATTTAATTTATAATATAGATAGTAAAGGGGGAAAACCTTACAACTAAAACTTTACTACAACAAAAGGTTATTTAATCTCTCATCTTTATTTAATTTCTCTGTCTCAGGTTTGGTTGTAAAAGGTCCGTCTGCTCCTCTGGTTGCTCCTCTGGGATCTTCAGTGGTTTTGCCCTGTTATGTTGATGAACTTTTATCAGTGGAGGGTCTGGAGGTGGAGTGGAGAAGACCAGACTCTGAGACTTTAGTTCATCTGTATCAGGATGGTGAGAGTCAAACAGAAGCCCAGCAGCAGGATTATCAGGATAGAGCTCATTTCTTTACTGAGGAGATTCAACATGGAAACTTTTCCCTCCGGCTGGACGATCTGAGAGCTGAAGATGAGGGACAATACACATGTACAGTTCACAGTCAGCAGGATTCTGGAGAAAATGTGGTTGAAATAAAAGATGTTGGTGAGTAAAAACCCAATTAGTTGTAGTAGAAAGTTAATCTAATATTTGTTGCTCATAATATTAGTTTTATTTTTATTCTTTCAGTACGTTTGCTAGTATCAGGATCGAGTCGCTCTATATCAGCGTCTGTGGGTGAAGACGTCACTCTGAACTGCTCTGTAGACTCTCACATCACACCTGAACACATTGAAATTGCATGGAAGAAAACAGATGAAAATATTCAGGTTCTGCTCTACCAAAACAATGAGGCTTTACCAGATTCAGCACATGTGCGATACAGAGACAGAGTTGAGTTCTTCACTGCTGAAATCCCCAAAGGAAACTTCTCTCTCAGACTGAAGAGTGTCAGAACTGAGGATAAAGGAGTTTACATGTGTCACGTGTTTGCTGGAGGACTTTCAGCCAATACAACTGTAGAACTGGAGCGACTGGGTGAGGCCTACTGGATAAATAAATAAATACATACATAATAAATGGGACCTAAAGTAACATAAATTACTTTTTGTTGTTTAGTCACGTTTAGTTTACAGTACTTTGAAACTGATTAACTGTCAGATATTTCTATAACTAATTTATGTCTGAATGATTATTCCTGGATGTGATAGTAAATGCTAAATCACCTTAAATGCAGGATTGTTGTGCTACAGAGGTGTGTGTGTGTGGTATATATGGTTTATGAGGAATGTGTATGAAGACATGGGTTCTATAATGTAAACATGGTTTATAAGGACACTTTCTGTGTGAGGGGTAGGTTTAGGATAAGGGAATAGAAAACAGTTTTTACAGTATAAACACAATTTTATACTGGACATTTTACTGGTCCTCACTAGTTTAAAAAGGCTTATAAATTGGCCGAAACATGTTTTTGCTTAAATCTAGTGTTTTGCAGATGTTTCTGTGAAGGGTAGGTTTAGCGGAAGGGGTTGCCTTAAAATTGATACAACTAAATTTAAGACTTTTTAAGGGCCAGCAGGAACCCTGCAACATGCAAACTATCCCACAAGGATAGTAATACCAGTAAACTTTGACATTTTTTGGTCCCCGTGAGGAAGCAAGCTTATAAATCTCACAGAATTATCTTTTTTGAAAATCTAAAATTGCAGAAAGCTTTGTGTGAGGGCTGGGTTTTGGGGTAGGGTTAGGATAAAGCCGGGCCCACACTCCATCTTCACTGTCCAACGGCAGCTTGTTTTGCAGTTGCACATCGGCTGTTGTGAAAGTACTGACGTAATCATAGCCATAATCATAAGATTCGATCTGTGAACACCTCACATTACCTGAAAATCTCTGCCAAACACCGGAACTGATCGAGGTCCTGTATACGATTTTTCTCAGGTTGTTGGGAGGGATAAATTGGCCTAAAACTCATGTAGTCTGAGCCCAGCTTAAGGGGATAGAAAATTCAGTTTATATAGGGTGACCATACGTCTTCTTTTTCCAAGACACATCTTAGCCAGGATTTCTATATTGCCTAAAATATCCAATCGTTGTATGACATCAAAGTACCTAAAAATAAGAGAGCTATATAGAGCAGATGGCTCCTTATGCTTTGATATCAAACACTGATCAGTCTGCGCAGCGCATATGTATGTGTATTTTCATCACTTTGACCATTCTCTGTAGATCCCACCTGCCACGATTGGTTGATTATGTTGATTATGCAATGTGTGTGTGTGTGTGTGTGTGTGTGTGTATACCTGTTTTTCTATTCTGGTGGGGACTTAAACCTGAATACACAAAACCCATTTC